TTGTTGAAACAACACCTCTTTCGACTTACCTTGTGCAAGACGAAGCACTCGAGTGTTGGCCTGATTCGGTTCAGAAAAGAATCATCGAATCCAAGTTCCCAAATTCTCTATTGATTTCTCACACTTATAATGCTTATACACTTGTTAGAGACGAGCTTGAGGTATATTTTATGTGCCAAACTTTTTTATCTGTTCATTAAATTCAAAATTAATTGATTTATTAATTGAATGATTGATTTACCACTTATCAATACTATTTTATAGAAAATTCAGTCCGTGAAACGGCGTCAAGCTGAAGAAAAAGTAACCCAACGTAGAGTTGTAACACGTGCTAAAACTAAAGGAAAAGGAAAAGCCATTTTTGATTCCATGTAGTTGACGCCCGACTTTTCTTTGCTTTCCTACTAATCTTGGTATTTGTATTCTTGAACATTTTATGAAATTTGAAAAATAAATACTTGTTTATATTAATGAATACTTGTTAAAAAATTTTTGTGTACACCACATGGTTTTATAGAATGTTTGTAAAAGAAATTTTATCTTATCGCATGTCTTTTCAAAGAATAATAACATTTGTTGTAACGTAAAAAAGTATTGACCCATTAAGTGGTTACGATTGTAGCTTTCTTTTTCTTCTCATCGGGCACATACGCCACCGAAATTTTGACACATCTGCCAAGTGCTATTCCCGGTAACCAATAGGTTGCTCTCGTTGAAATCCATAGTTCTGAAGACACGCATAAACATTGCTTTTAATTGAAGTTACCAATACATGTAATTTTACGAAATAACCTACGATCCTCAATAGCAAATATTATAAATTAGGAATGGAAACTGTTGTTAAGTCCCGAGCCAAATGCTCAAAATGCGATTGTTTTCTATTATGTAATATTTCTTGTATTAACTTTCGATTGTTTGATTTCCTTGATATCATCATCTAGTTTAGCAATGAGGTTGGTCTTTTCTTTATCTCTCTGCTCTAGATTCGTGAACCTGGTTTCATGTTCATCCAAGGCTTGCCTTAATTTTGTATTCTCAGCTTTAACTTCGATATTTTCAGCCTTGACCTCGGCAATCTCATCCATAGCCTCATCATATTTAGCTTTAACTTCAGCATTCTCCTTTCTAAGTTCAGAAATCTCAGCCGAGCTTCGAATTTAATTCTTTCAATGAATCGATTTTGGATTGAGTGTTCGACATTATTTTATATAGAAAGCGTATTCATTCAAAATCTTTTTATTGTGTAAAGTACCAAAGTTAAATTCACGTGATTAAATTTTGCGAGACCGGGCGGTCCCGGAAAAATGCCAAGAAATTCTCGATCATATAACAGCATCAATATCAATACTACGTGTTAAATCCCAAAATACATGCAAAAAGTAAACGCGAAATTTTCAGAATTTATTAGCCAAAGGCTAGCTTACGCTAAGTGTAATATATGAATATTACGTTGCCGAGAGGCAGTCACATAGTGGCTATGCTATGGAAAAATAAATCGTAATTTAATCCCCATTGAGATGCACATTTATTACTAACTCTTCGCTATGAAAACGTTATTTCCTATACTGCGCTGGTAAGCCTCTTCTTGCGGGCTGAAGATCTTTAATGAATAAAAATATAAGTATTAGTAAAACCAGCAAAGCTAAGCTCGAACTACATAGACCAATATCACAACTATATTTACCGAGATGGCTTCGTCTTGAATTCCTCACTTTTGGTGATCGCGAACCCAACTTAGAGTATTTAGAACACCCGATGTCTGGCTTGAACTTTTTTTGCATTCCGGAGCTGGTTGATGATTCGGCATTATTTATATCTGTATTGTGGAATAGGGTACCGAACTTCCTATTTTGTTTGATTGTTGTCGCGTGTTAAAAAATACAATACTATGGTGAATACCAGCAACAACAGAAAGATTCCCATGGACCAAAATATTTGATCTAAAAGTGATGACATGCCCCTGTTTCACATAAATTATAAGTTTCAACTCCAGAAATACCAGTTGTCCACCTTCAAACAAACCCAGTGGACACACGACACAAAGTGTATTTCAATGATCTTTCAAATTATGGTGAAATTGGCTAATAATGTTGAAGTTAACCGCAATTGTTGGAAAAGCATCAAAAGACTTAGGGACATTCGGGCCAAGATCGAGCTTTACCATTTTCGCATACAGATCTGGATATGTTTCCTGAAAATAAGTATTAACCATATTAGATAGCAGTTGAAGACCACCGATCAGTTTGCAAACATATTTTCAATATTTCAGATGATGGTCTGATGCAGTATTTGCAGTTGTATACGGTTCATCATTGCTACCTGTAAAGGCACTGAAATGCTCCACTAATTCTTTCTTGAATTCTCTCAATTGATGCTTTTTATTATTAAGGTTATGATTATAATACTGGTCTATTATCACTCTCATATCTTCTGCAATCGTAGAATTGGACAGATCAAAAAAGTCTACCACTATTTCACCATAAGAATTCTTGAAGCATTGTGGATTGAAGATGTAATATAGTAACCATCTAAGTTATTACCAATTGCTACATTCCTGGTGGTTTCTTTAGCAATCCCAAGTTTTTTCTTTAATGATTGGTTAAATATTTCTGGAATATTATATTCTTCTCGTAATTTTTTCTCAGCTTTTAGATGTATGCGATTTACGTCTGACCAAAGGAGACGACAGTAGTGATGAAATCATTTATTGAAATGTAAAACTTTTGTAAAATACACCCATATTCCAAACTTATTCCATTGCATTGATCTTGGATTGAAAGGACCCTTATTAAAAATCTCATATTCTAAAAAAGCCATATATTGTATCAGAATTTTAGAGTTATTGATTGGTATTTGTTGGATAGTTTGAGGTGGCAAGGATTTCGCTATATAAGTATTTTGGTTTATGTCATCCATAGATAATAATTCATTTTGTAATAACCTTTGGATAATTAATCTCTTTTGTCTTCTTTCTAAAAATTTTTCAATAAAAGTAAATTTTGGATTGATTAAAGTCTGGGGTTGTGGATTTTTATCCAATTTAATGTAGTTATGCACATATCTACTGATAAGATCGCTAGAAAAAAATTTTTCGATATCCATTGGATTTGAATATATTCTCGAGTTTCACTTTCAGTTGATTCTCAGGTACCCGATTAAGTTTTATGCTAATAATACATATTTGAAAATGGTATCAAATTGATATATCTCATTACAAATCAAAAAATAGTGGAATTTTGAGGTAGAAACTTTTGAATTATTTTATGTCTCATAACTTAGTATTTAAGTAGGAAACTAGTTCAGACTCCCTCCACTCACTAATAAGACAATCATAATTCAATAATTCATACCCAAAATATATACTTAACTTACTTTTTTTGGATTATAGAATATTTCAGCTCTGGATGTGTTCATTGCTAGCTTAATTCTTCCTTATAACAATCTGGAATATACTGTAACTCGTATATTAACTAATGAGCAAGAATATACAAAAACAACACTACTCAATGAGCATTAGGAATAATTCCTAAAGCCAAGTCCTACTCACTACATAAGTGGTTTTGCTATGCAAGAGAAGAATAGTATTACTTTTACAAAAAAAAGAAGTATGGGAAGAGAAATAGGTAATTGTTGATAATCGTATCTGTTTTTGAATAATCGTTGGTTTTATATTAAATGAAAAAAATACATAATAATTATCGCATATTTCATGAACTTCTATGTCGATCTCACTCGTAATGTGATTGGCTGGTAATTTTCTGATCATTAATGGTTTTTTAATTATTTTGATTGGAGGAATTACTACTCTGGAATGTGAATGCTTTTTTTTTATGATGTTTTTGGATAAAAGAGTCAACCTTTTTCTTTTTAATATAAATATGATTCTTTCAGGATTTTATTGGATTGAGATCATATCAATCTGAACCCATGGATTCTGAATCAGAACTGGATGAATTAGTCTCTGTCTCAGATTTTATTCATGGTAGTTTTGTATTATTTATACAACTTAGTTCATATTCAATAATACAAAGTTTTTTAAAAATTATATACTCTATATCATTTTCTATAGAATAAACTGACTTCCAAATATTATTGAGATACATTTTGATTGGAAGATTCCTATCTCCATCACTTAAATCTACTTTAGGATATTTCTTATTCTTGCTAGCTTGGCTATTTTTGGAAATATGAACTTTTCAATGTATCGTAGTTATCTTTTTATTTTTTTGATTAAAATTATTCGATCTTTTGGATATTGGAAATACAGTAGATATGTTGCAAAATATTCTGTGATACCTCTTTCAGTGCTTATTATCTTCGATATCTGAGAGAGATTTCTTAATTATATTTGTGATCTCCTTCAATAATAGATTGGTCTTAGATGAGTTATTTTTCGTGGAGTTTGCTTTGTTAAAATCTTCATTGATTAATGGAATGCTCATATCATCTATTACAATTTTAGCATGGCAGACACAGGTTTTGGAAAAATGTCCAAAGTTATTTTTGCTTCATATATCCATAACCAATCTTGCCCCAACACCAGATCGAATGACAGATTTTTACGAATTTGAAAGTCTATTACTTCAGTATAATCTAAGCTTCATTATATTTTTTATAGTGAACTGTAAATCTAAACCTTTTATTTCTTTACCAATCAATTCATTGCCAGATAAACATTTCAACCCATAATCTTTTTCAAACTTATCGAACAAGCTCTTGTTAATGGTATTGGATTTAAATATTGTATTGATTGATGCTTTTACTGGAATTTTTCCCTCTATGAGTGTTTCTATAAAAACCATATAAATATTATTTAATGATGTATAATATAACTAAAAAAATAATCAAGTTCGAATAATTAATTTTAGGCACATATACTATACATTTTCTAAATATTCTCAATTACATTTAACTTCCATGTCCATTGCATTTTTCTGGAACTATGGTTGACCCAATGTCAGTACAGATTCAAGTTTAAGTTTATTGGTAACGAAAACACCAGTAACTTCTACTTGCTTTGATTTATTATCTTTGGATTAAAAAAAGGGATTTATTTCATGAAGCATCCCTATTATTGATAGCCCATCTCTTGTAGTTAATATATGTGGTGGTTTTTCAGATTCTATATAAGCATCATCGATTTTCAAACCTAATTTATCTACTAAGTCCTTACATATAATATTGCAATTAGTACCAGAATCTAATATAGCTGTAATTGATACTTTATTAATTTCGCAGGATAAAGTTATCATTGTGATACTTTATTATAATTATATATTCAATAAAGTATTTTTTATTTTCTATTAATAAAAATAATTCAAAATATCTAATGACTGAAGTTAATAACAAGTCTGTTATAAATGAAGCAATAATTAAAGATAATATCAGCAAAGCTGGAACAACCAATAATTATCTGTCTCAAGAATTATATAAAAGTATTGAAACAGTGATCAAGTCTTTTACAAAGCAACAGAATACTATTAATATGATATTCAATATTGTTAATCAAGTATCGGATAAAAAAATTCAGATTTCTCTTAGTCAATTACTGGAAATAGTAAAACCAATATTTGAAATTTAAATAAATAATTTAATATTATGAGATTATTAGTATTATATAAATGTGTGTTTATCAATACACATCAAATAAATATAAAGAATTAAAGTTTTACCTTGATTTGACAAAAAAAAATGTACTTGTCTGCTTACAAGGTGACAAAAAAAACTTGGAGTATCAGCACATACCTTCCATCATTGGTCCAAGCAAGGAAAGATAAATTTCAAGACATCTGATTTGGAACAAGATTGTACAAAGTTTCAAAGTATTTTTCTAAAGAATAAAATGATACCTGATTTTCCACCCTCACCTTCACCTCCACCAAGAAAAATTATATTTATGCAAGAGTCTCTAGTCAAAAACAAAGACAAAACCTCGAAAGACAAAAACAACTTCTTGTCTCAAGATATCCAAAACATGAACTCGTCTGTGATATCGGTTCAGATATCAACTTCAAGAAACCCGGATTTAAAACCATATTGAAATAATCAAGCAAAGGCATTATCGAAGAAATTATGGTTACCCACCATGACTGATTATACAGGTTCGCATATAAGTTGCTTAAGTATATATTTTTCCTCAATTTTACAAAACTCTTGATTCTCTTCGATGATTTGACAACTGATGAATATGAACTTTCTGAAAATATCCTTGCCATCAATACTGTCTTTATATGTAGAATGCAAGGATGAAGAGCCACAAAATATCGAAGAAAAAAGAAAGAAAAGAAAAATATATCGACAGCCAGAAAACTCAAGAGAAGAAAGACAGTCAAAAGTGTGATCAAAATATTAAATGTAAGATCTTACCCAAACCATGCTTAGAAACAGTTACTGAAGCAATAGATGGGATTGATGAGATTGATCTATAATACAGTTGTCAGTTGGAACAGAAAAGGATGTTTTTTTGATATTAATAAAGAAAAGCAATGGTTGAAATATTAGACTTTTGAAGAAAAACTCGTATTGTACTCTGATGTTAAAGATGAAAATTTATGAAAGAAATGTGTGTGGAGAGAATGCAAGTTCCTAAGAACCATTATTAGGATCATGTTATCACTTATAGGATGTCTTGACAAAATTCCTGTAAACATTATTGACAAGACAATGGATGAAGCCTTAATAGTAAGAGCAAATATAATAATGAAGAATATAGAATAAGTTGATAGAGAAAGAATTTCCAAACTATCTTTCAGATCAAGGAAAGATTTAAAATATACTATTACTGTATGCACACAGAACTTTTCAAAGAAAGAGTGAAATCAATTTTACGTATCATATCTTTACAATAAGTCTATAATGATATTGAGGAAAAAGCCAAACAATTTAGTAGAAAATAAATGTGACTTGAGACCATTGCATTTCAAGACCAAGAAAAAAAATAATAATTGGCCATCTGAAAAGATCAATTGTAACTGCAAATTCATACATTATAGGAAGACCAATGAATGGTATCTCTCTTAAGTGCATGAGAGGCAAAAGAAAACAAGAAATGTTTACAAGAGATATGGATCCATCAATCCAGGTGTCAAGACTCCAATTGTGATTTATTCCCCTCCAAAGGTGTCACAGAAATAGGTAAGAATGATACGCAAAGGATGGTAAGGTTAGGGTATCATGCAGACAAACTGAGTTCAAAAAGAGATATGTTGAACAACTCGAAGTCCAAGAGAAAAAAGAAGAAAGCCAAGAGAATCGATAAGGCTATATCCAGAATATTCAGAAAAATCAATAACTTGAGAAACAAACTACACCGAAAGACCATAAACCATCTCGTAAAGAATTATGATGTGATCATGATCCCAGAATTCAATGTCAAGAACATGATGAAGAAAGAAAACAGAAAGATCAAGTCCAGTGTTGTAAGAAGTATAATGACCTGGTCACATGGATTATTCAGACAGTGGCTGATACACAAAGCTGAGGAAACAGGTCTGAAAGTGATCATCCAAGACGAGGCATTTACTTCAAAGACCTGTTCATGGTGTGGTAACATGCAAAATATAGGTGGTAGAAGGATGTACAAGTGTAAGAATTGTGGTCTCGCCATAGATAGAGACGTGAATAGAGCACAAGGGATATTCCTTCGTGCGTTGCTTGATGGAGCCATATGAATGCGTATGTAGGAATTAGTAATCCAACTAGCAATGTCTAGTAAAGATTATTAATGATGTATTACAATCCATCCGCTTGATGCATGGTCGAATAAACTGAAATATGATTATTTACAGAAAAGCCTTATTCCCACTTTCCGTATTCTAATATTTTAACCTAAAATGAAATTTAATTAGATAATTTGATATTATAGATTTGTAAGTTGAATATAGGATACACATACGTATAAAGTTATTCCATTGCTTTTTGGCACTGCTTTTTCGACAGTGAACACAAGAAATACAAGAAATATTACATAATAGAAAACAATCGCATTTTGAGAATTTGGCTCGGGACTTAACAACAGTCTCCATTCCTAATTTATAATATTTGCTATAGGTTATTTCGTAAAAATTATATGTATTAGGTAACTTCAATTAAAAGCTATGTTTATGCAACCTATTGGTTACCGGGAATAGCACTTAGCAGATGTGTCAAAATTTCGGTGGCGTATGTGCCCGATGAGAAGAAAAAGAAAGCTACAATCGTAACCACTTAATGGGTCAATACTTTTTTACGTTACAACAATGATATTAGAGAATGATGTTGGTGCGGTAATTAATAAAATCAACCCGACTAACATAATAAATAGTAATAGGGAAAATAACATATTATTATCGAGAGTTCAATTCTGGCAAATTTTAAGATATATAATTATATTATTACATACGGTATTATTATTTAAAAGCGCCTTTAGAATAAATTGACTATCATAATAAAGCACCTATCATTGCATACAGAACAGGTTTAATACCAAAATCATACTTTTCAATAAAAAAAAAGGCCAAAGGAAATTTCAAAGATTTAAATTCTTTGATTATACACTGTAATTTGATTTGTCAATGATTTTTATCTGCATGGCTAGGTAAACTTGTGATCATCTCCATATCGTGCGTGTTGATATCATGATGAGGGAACAGCCTCTCGAAATTATTTGTTTGTTTTCCGAGGAGCACATATCAATATTTATCTCGATGATGAAAGGCTTATTTTATTTCAAATCACAAGAGATTATTATAAAATATTGTGCCACACCACGATTAATCTATGGCTGTCTAGTTCTCCTGTATTTAAGCACAAAAGAAATCAAAAAATATCACAAACGTGATGCAGATTTTTGTAGACAACAAAGAAAAGAGAATTAATATAACTATTGAATCGTAATACACGCATTCACGAGTCTTACTATAAGATGTTCTGGAAAAAGAAAAATCAACCTCCTGTAAAAAATTCCGAAAAGATCATTCCTGAAGCAGGAGCTTCCATATTTTCCAAGGTCTTCCTTGTTTGGCTCAACGAACTTTTACGCATTGGCTACAATAAGCCCTTGGAAAAAGAAGATTTGTATCAACTTGATGATGAAAGGCTAGCAAAAACGTTGGCGGACAAATTTGAAAATGAGTGGAACAAAGAACTACAAAAACTAAAAAAAGGAAAGAAACCTTCTTTAATATTAGCACTTAACCGTGTGATTGGATTTAAATATTGGATTGCAGGTCTCACAAGGTTTATCGCTTATTTGTTGCAGGTCCTTTCACCCTTAGCAATTCAGGTACAGTGATTGGCAAAGGATAATTTGGAAATGAGTAAATTTTGATTGTTTTCATGACGTGATATCCTCAATGATTTTGTCTAGGCCATAATAATATTTTCGACGGAGTCAATCCAGTCTAATAACAATGATGACGCACCACCAATCTATAAAGGAGTATTGTTGGCAACAATTTTATTTTTGATGTTACAAATTTACACTATATCTAGCATCATATGCTTGTATTTGTCAACGGAATGTGGTATTTTGGCCCGCACGATTTTAATCGCGGCCATCTATCGAAAGGCGTTAGTGCTCAGTGGAAAAGCACGCGGCATTTTCACCACGGGAAAGATCACAAATTTGATGTCCACTGACACGACTCGCATAGATTGGGTTGCGATCTATTCACATTTATTATGGGCAACTCCACTTATACTTTCAATAGCACTTGCACTTTTGATATTAAACATAGGATTATCAGCGCTGGCAGGATTCGGGTTAATGGTCATCGCCACTCCTCTGCAAGGCAAAGTCATGCAGGCCTTAGTTAATATAAGAAAGAAGGCCTCCAAAATGACTGATGAACGGGTAAAGATCACGGGAGAGATCTTGCAAGGGATCAGAGTAATTAAGTATTACGCATGGGAGGATAGTGTTATTGATAATATCGAAAGAATTAGGACTACCGAAATTTGGTATATTCGTGTGCTGTTAATTATAAGATCAATAGTCATGGGCATTTCAGCGGTAGCCTTGATTCTCTTTTAGCGTCGTTGACATACGTACTGATGATTTCCATGGTTTTTATTAACTAGTCAACTTCAATTGTAGGTTTTACCAATTTTTGCCAGCGTCCTTTCTTTTATAATATTCGTGCTTACCGGTGGAGTGCTCACTCCGGACATAGTATTTTCGTCCCTCGCGTTATTTAATGTTGTCCGTTTTCCGATAAAGGTTTTTCCTGTGGTCATATCAGGGATGACGGATGCATGGGTAGCATTTGATCGGATACAGGAATATCTAATGGCCGAAGAAATAGAATATTTACCGCCAATCGACACCACTTCAGATTCCGCGATAACGGTTAAGAATGGAGAATTTATGTGGGAGAAGACACCTTCATCAGACGAAGAATTTGAAATAATCGAGTTCTCAGAGATATCTATTCCAACCGATAATCCGGAACTACCAAAGAGTTCCCAGTCGCCCCTCTCGCAATTAAGATTAAGAGATATTAATATTCGTATTCCACGCGGTGCACACGTAGCAGTGGTAGGATCCGTTGGTTCGGGAAAATCTTCACTTTTGTCAGCGCTCGTGGGAGAGATGAAAAAAATGAGTGGAGAGGTGACGTTTGGCGGGAGTGTTGGATATTGTTCGCAAAATGCTTGGATACAAAATTCTACTGTTAAAGATAACATCTTGTTTGGACGCGCATTTGACGAACAAAGATATGCGAAGGTGATCAAGGATTGTTGTCTCGAACCCGATTTGGAATCATTCCCGGCAGGGGACATGACCGCTATAGGAGAGAAAGGAATTAACCTTTCTGGAGGGTACTTATTCTTTTTTTTTATCGCATCGTTTTTTTATTTGATTTAAAATGTCAACATCTCTTTGGGTTGCATTTATTGTAGACAAAAACAACGAATAAGCATTGCAAGAGCTATCTACTTTGATGCGGACATTGTTCTGTTGGACGATCCCCTTTCCGTGAGTCAAGTGTTAAATTTCTCACATAAAAACTTACGTGCACACATAATTTACACTTAAACGAACGGATTTGCTAGGCGGTCGATTCACATGTTAGCAATTATTTGTTCACTAACTGTTTTCAAGGAACTCTCTCAAAGAAAACTTTGATCCTTGTGACCCACAAACTGAATATATTGTCACAACTTGACTACATACTGTACATGGAAAATGGTAAGATCGTAGAACAAGGGAATTACGAAGAATTAATTCGCAACGGAAAAAATTTTTCAAAGTTGATAGAAGGATATGGTAAATCTGAAGACGTAGAAAAAAGAGTTGTGGATTATGAAGATTTAACAAGTGATGCGAATAAAAGAAAATCATTGCTTGTATATGAAAAAGATTCGATGACTCAAGAGGAACGATTGGTGGGCGCAGTGAAAATGGAAATTTACTACTCATACATCAAAGCAGCCGGTGGTTTGTGTTTGATCCCGTTTGTACTTTTTTTAGTGATAATGATGCAGGGGAGTAACATTGGGTTTGCATCTTAAAATTTGCCGCTTCATGTTGGAATTCCTGAAACCAAAGATCTCGGCTAATTATTATTACATCTCACAATCAAGAGGCAATTTATGGCTTTCCTATTGGACAAGCGATAAGTTTCAACTTTCCACAGAAATCTATGTAGGTCTCATTCAGATAATGCACACATTGATTTTCATTATATTGCGGATACCTGTAATCCTCGCATTTGCTTGTACGTATAGATGGAGATTTATGCTGCTTGGGGTGTCTCCGAAGGAATATTTAGTATCCTCGTGGGTGTTTCTCTTTCTTTGGCTACGCTTTCAGCGGCTCGGAATCTTCATCGAAAGGCATTAAAACGAGTATTGACTGCACCCATCGGTTTCTTTGATACAACACCCATTGGACGAATTTTAAATCGGTTCGTATATGCGTTGCGTAATTCGTGGTTAGATTTTCCAATATATTAATTAATAGAATAAATAACAAGGATTTATAATTTCCGATAAAGATTCAGCAAAGATATCGACACGTGCGATAACATAATTACCCAACCGTTGCAATTATTCCTATACACGATAGCAGACATATGTGGAATATTTATCTTGGTGACTGTCGTGTTTGTGTATTTCTTGGTTCCAGCGGTGCCACTCTTTTTTTTGTATTATTATTATTCGAATTATTTTCGGTATTCAAATCGAGAGTTAATACGTAAGTTTAACATTTTCTATTGTGGATTTATGATTGAAAAAAATGACTTGGTTAAATTTCTGCTTAAAATATAAAGGTCTAGTTTCGATATTGAGGGCTTCATTATATGCTCAGTTCACCGAATCGCTGACAGGCTTACCGATAATACGCGCATACCGTTTGCAAGAAACTTTTCTGCGGTACACGTCTTATTTTTTTTTTTTTAATTTTGCCTTTGACTTGCAAGTAATCTAATATCTGGACGACTTTAACCGATCTCAACCAGTAAAAACGAACAATGCCTTGATGATGAAAATCGTGCTTACATTCCATACAACGCTGTCAACAAGTGGCTATATATAAGGGTGGAATCTATAGCAAACTTGCTTATCTATGTTGCAAGTCTATTATGCGTCTACGAAAGGTTTAATGTAGATCCATCCATAGTGGGAGTAATTTTAAGTTATAGCATGGTCGTCACGGGAGATTTCAGTTGGTGTATTAGACAAGTTTCCGATGTGGTATGTGTGGTTATTTACGAAATACCGAGTTTATTAAAGAGTTCTACGACTCAACTTTTAACTCTATCATACGCAGGAAACAGCGACAAATTCAGTGGAACGCTTATTGTACTACATAGAGAATGTTAAAAGCGAACCAGATCCAATAATTCCAGGACACCGCCCGCCACCCGAATGGCCCACCAAGGGAGAGATCGTTATTAAAGACTTGGTAATGAAGTATGGACCCGAGAAACCACCTGTTATAAAAGAAATTTCATTACACATTAAAGGATCGGAAAAAATCGGGATTGTTGGGAGAACTGGTGAGTCAAATAGAAGCAAAATCGAAAACACTTACATATATTGCTTCGTGTACTAATTAATATATTCCTTGAGGGTGTGGGAAATCGACACTTGCAACGTCGTTTTTTAGATTTATTGAACCCGCATCCGGACAGATTATCATTGATGGCATTGACATCACAACTATAGGTTTAAAAGATCTAAGAAGAAAAATTACTATAATACCTCAAGACCCTGTCTTGTTTAATGGAACTATCAGGTAATATATAATTTTATATATTTAAGTACGCAACAATACTTATTTCTACTTCAAATTGTACCTTTTTTTTAGGAGCAACCTGGATCCATTTAACTTGCATGATGATCAATCTTTATATAACGCTCTTCGTCGTGCACATCTATTTGACGATGAATATATCGCTGAAAAAAGAAGAGTTTTTAGAGAGGAAGACGAAAACTCTAGATTACTTTTCTCAAGTCAGAGATTTTCTCATCAAAAAATTCATTTAGACTTAAAAGTACATGAGCATGGTAGAAACTTCTCGCAAGGCCAGCAACAGCTAATAGCACTGGCCAGAGCATTGGTACGTCGTTCAAAAATTATCATAATGGATGAGGCAACAGCCAGTGTAGACTTCAGAACTGATCATTTGATCCAAGAGACCATTCGTGAAGAGTTTTCCGAGGCTACTGTAATTACAATTGCTCATCGTTTGCGGACGGTGATGGATTATGACCGAGTGTTGGTTTTGGGTGAGCACTGAGAATCCCAATTGATTTCAAAATTAACTTATTATTTGATACCAAAATTTATATTCCTCTCATTTTCTAGATAATGGCAAAGTGGTAGAGTTTGAGTCCCCACATTTATTATTACAAAATCAAAAGTCGATGTTTAAACAAATGTGTGAATTCAGCGGAGAATTTGAGGAATTGATGAAAATTGCAAAACAGAAATTTGAAAAAAAAGCAACTCGACGGCGAAAATAAACAACGGATTTGATGAATTTGAATGCAAATCCAAGCTCAAATGTGTAATACCCAAAGATTTCATGATTACAAAATATATTGATGAATTGGGAGTTCCGAGCGCGATGAAATTAAAAATTAATTTCGATCGCCCAAACTACATTTTCAACATGTGCCTAAACTTAGGCATATTTAGAACAATAATTTGGCATTAACATCAGGTAAAACTTTACATATTACAATAATATTTAAAGAAGAGAATAAGGTCATTTATATTATATCAGATCTTGGTTTTATAATTTTATAATAAAAAAAACATACTTAATCGTTAGATTTATGATATCATATTTACTGTACATTGTTACATATAATTATTAATTACAGTATCTGAAAATTTTATTTGATTATTTGATGAATAACGAATAAAAAGATCATTATTTTAAAATAAATTAAAAATTAAAATTACTTTAAATTTTAAATCGAAAAACAGATAATGCACGAAAAAATGACTCGCGGATACAGTGGCGCCACGTTTAAGAATAGCCACCGGTGGCTTAGGTAGAAATAATTATAAGTACGCCATTATTACGTAAACAAAACAAATATACAGCCTGCATAAAGAAACGCAAAGTTTAAACCGCAGACTTACTACGTATATTTATTGTACCCTGATACTATATTCGGAAATCTAAGATTCATCAATTACCATCGTTATGATTTGTTATGATTTTGATTATTGTCACTCTAATAATAACTTTTGTTTTTTCTATCACAAAAAAAAGAGTTTTCCAAACGTCGTTCTTGGTGTGCTTGTGAAAAATTAATGGTGATTTATTATCAGGAACAAGGAAATTCGATTTGTAAAATAGCAATAAAATTTGACATTCAAAGAAAGCAAGTTCATAATTGGATTGCAAAAAAACAAGAACTACAAAATGCAACACCTCACAAATTACAGTTACATTCAGAATGTAATGAAAATTATCCAGATCTCAAAAATGAACTTGCTAATTGGATTTCTGAAAGTTGAGACAAAGCAATATAGTAACAAGAGATATGATTACACAAAAAGTCAAAATTCTTGTCATTAAAAGTCGATATCAGAAATTATATCCTAATATTAATGATTTAAAATTTTCTTTAAAATAGTTAGATGGATTTTTATTTCATAAGAATTTTCTAATTGCCAATGAACTACAGTTGCTCAACATTTACCTGAATATTTGATCAAAAAACAAGAAAAATTTTTAAGTTATATATTATATAAGCAACAAGAAAATAATTATATGCTTAATTGCATAGGAAACATGGATGAAATCCTATTATCTTTCAATCTTCCAAATATGATTACAATAAATAAGCATGGATCATAGACTGTTACAATTTGAACAATAGGTTACAAAAAAAATGTTTTACCATAATTCTTGAATATATGGTTAATGGTTCAAAACTTTCACTAGTTTGTATTTTCAAGCTTAAAAATGTATCATATGAAATTTTTCCTAATGGAATTCATATTTATATCAATGAGAAAAGATAGTATAATAAAACTGAAATGCAATACTGGATAAAAAACATATGGAATTAACAAAATGATCTGAATTCACAAAATTTTCTTATTTTAAACTTATTTCAAGAATATTTTATAAATTTCATAAAATCCAATTTCAAAAAAAAAATATTGATTTGAAAATAATTTCAAGAGAACTTATAAGTAAATTGTAACTATTAGATATATCCATTAATTGATTCTTTAAACAATAGATAATAAATATTTTAATAAATATTTATTATAAAAACTTACATTTATTTTTTTTATTTATAATAAGTTCATTATTGATATAATAATTAGATAAATAGAAAATATAACAAAAAGATTTAATTTCAGCTAAACAAATTCATAAACTATCTTATACTACTCTTGCTATATGGATTAAAGATTTATAGGAAGAAATAGATATTAATCTAATTAAAAAATTATTTAAATGCTGTAGTATTTCAACTAAAAATTATTTAATATTTGATTATGAGCAATTAAATAAATTAAAAAAAATAAATTAAAAAATAATAAAGATAGAAATATTATTACTATTATTTTCCAAGAAAATATTAATGGACAAGTATATGGAAAATTAGAAGCCATAAAAAATATATGAAAATAATTATATTATATATAAAATATTATATTTTAAATATAGTAACATGATGGTAATTTTAAGTATTATTATTATTGCTTTACAGTAATATATTGTTGATAATAACAAAAGAAATTGTTATTGACAATTTTCAAAAAGTTTTATGAAAAGTCAAATGATTTGATTTGATTAATAGTTTCATAATATTTAATAGTAAAAATAATTTTATTTGTTTAAAATTTTTTATTATGATTTTTAATTTTAATTAGTTTAATTATATATATATATATTTCAAATAAATAATATTAATTGCAGTAAAAATAAGTTTTAAAAATATTAAATTAAAGATTTGAAAGATCAAAAAATCATTACAATTAAATATTACTTAAAAAATAATATTATAAAATCATAAATAATAAATATTTTTTATTTTTTATTTTTTAAAAATTTTTAAATTAAAAACAAATTTTTTATTTAAAAATATCATATAACTTTCAATCAAAATAAATTGAGATTATTAGAAAATCACATTAATATATATATATATATAAGATAAGATAAATTAAATCTTTTACAAATTTATATTTAGAAAACATATATATAGTATAGAATAAAAATAATTGAAAAATTTTTAATACAACAAAAAATCTTTTTGCTTGCCCAAATATAATTCAAATTAAATTATTTTTTTACAGATAAATATATAATTAGAGCTTAAAATTATATTTTTTTTATAATACAATGTTTTTTTGAAATACCATCTTCTCCTAAAAAAAACAATGTGAATCCTTATTACACTTATAAAATATTGATATATATAATATGAAAAAACTATATATATGAACAAAAGTTTTACTCTCCACAATATATAATAATATTGCAAAGTTTAAAAAAAACAGATTAACAAAGCATTTGAAAAGCAATAGTCATTTGAAAAAGACTAATAAGAAGATGACACTCTTGCTTAAACAATATATATATAAAGATTCTATTATTCAATGAAAATTTTAGCAATAAAATATTAAAAAAATGTATAAATTTTTCTTATAGAACAATTTAAAGGCATTTTAACTATATAAGATATAAAAAAAGTTTATGAGAGTAATACTTATGCTTACTAAGACTCATAAACAAAAACATATTAAGTAAGTCAAAAATATTATAATAAACATTGGAGTCAAATATTATTTTCAGATGAAATACTGTGGAATATTAACATAAAAATATAAAACCAATTTATTTAATATCTAAAGATTGAAGAAAATTCTTACATAAAGACTTCTATATAATAGAAAAAATAATTTTATTTTGTTTTAGACAAGTTATGGACGTAGAATTTTATGTTGAAATATTTAAAAACACTTATCTGAAATTAATAGTATACTTGAAAACCAGTAATGATTTTAGCAAGATAATAACTCTAAGTATACAAGTTGTTTTGTTTAGTATTTTCTTAAAAAAAATGTTTTGAAAGTTATTGATTAACTGTTAAATAGTCTAAATATAAATCCTATTAAAAATTTTTAAAGTATTATTAAAAATAAAATAGAAAAATAAATATGAAAAAATCTTGATAATTTAAAATAATTTATAATTGAGAAGTGGGAAACCATTCTGAATACTGTTCTAATAAACTTAATAAAATCAATAAAGAATTATTATAATATAATTATTAAATTATAAGGTAAATGCATATCTTATTGATATAAATAAATAAACATTAATAATCAAGTTTTAAGCTTTAAAATGATATATTTTTATGATCTTAAATTGTTTATTACAATATAAAAATTGATTTTTTAATTTCAGATATTTTTGTTTCACACTATAAATATAATAAAAGAATTAATAAATAATATTTATCAAATAATTTAGATCAAAAATAAAAATAATATTATATATTTAAAAAAGAACAAATTTAATTTTAATGTCAAAAATATAATATTTTTGTTTAATCTAATTAAATTAATCAAATTATATATTTATTATTATAAAAGAAAAAAAATAATATAACTTTTGCTTTCAAAATAAGTCAAAATACTAGCTAGCTTAAATATTCCTACTATCCTTCCTGTTAAGTATGTGTCAGGTGCTTTAGAACCCTGATTCAAAATCACTGAATCTATTATAGTATGTTTTTAACTTCTCCATTGGTTGAAAAATAAAGATTTGAACACTCTCATAAATAATAATGTAGACTTTGGTTAGCATCAAATTATTTAACTTAATATATTATTGTATCATATATTTTAGGTTATAAATGTACTGTAATAAAATTAATAAATAAATAAGATTTAAAATTATATTGACCATACTTAATATTCAAAGATTTATAATTATTTTAAATAATAAAAAATAAATTAAAAATCGTTCAATTTACTCGTAATTATCTGG